GGGGTGGGGAGAACCCAGCCGGGCTCCCCTCGGTGGCGGAGCAAAGGCTACCGCTGCATCGGAGGGGTCCTCTACCGAGTGTCTGCCAACAAGCTCTCCAAGACCTGCAGCCGGCCCGGGGCTGGCGACGGCGACGGGGGCAGCAGGCCCCTCCTGCGTGCAGGTGAGGCTCCTGCTGGCGGGGTCAGGAAGCCCCAGGGCCTGGCCCAGTGAGTTACCCCTGTGGGCGGCTTCCAGCAGCAGGCAGGGCGCTGATTCGGAGGCCCCTGAGGCCCGTGTCCCCAGGGAGGGCCCCTGCAGGCGGCGGCTCTCGCTTGGCTGGGCGGCCCCTGATTCTTCATTGTTCGCTCCTGGACAGAGGAGATGAGCCAGGTATGGTAAATGAGCCGGGCGAGTGAACACCTGGGGCCGCTGCGCCCAGAGTCGCATGGGCAACGCCTTCCAGCTGTGTCTGCAGGCGGCAGCCGGGGAAGCAGGCCCAGGAGGAGGAAGTGCCCTGGCCTCGCTTGTGGTATAAGTTAACTCGAAAAACAGGATGGTTTCAGTCCAGTTCTACCTTCTTCCTTTTCTGTCTAAAGAGAAAAAGGGGAAGGTCGCAGGCGGGTCGGGACTGCAGAGGCCCGGCAGCCCCCCACACCCTGCCGCACTGCCCGAAGGGGCAGGGGGGAGCCCCCAAGCGCCCCCCAGAGCCTCCGTCTGCAGGACTCAGGGCACCCGCTGCCCCCTTCCAGGCACGGAGGGCTGGTGCCCCAGGAGGGAAGGCACTGGGGCCCGGAGGCCGTGGCTCCACACTGCCCGTGGGCCTGTTTCCCCGCCTCTCCCGCGACCTCCCGGTCTGGGCCTCCGCGGCCTCAGGGAGGAGCGGGTGCAGGGAGGCCAGCCTGCGCCTGCCCCCTCTGCTCTCAGCAGCCCCCACTCTGGCGGCCCCCGATCCCCAGAGCGTGAAGCCGCGTGGCAACAGTGCACGTGGTCTGTGGGCCCCACACAGCTGTTGGCACAGCTGAGGGCAGGGTTCTCGGGCCCCTCCGTTCTCTGCCTACTCCACAGGGGCAGACGGCGCCACAGGGGGCTCGTGCGCAGCCGCTCTGCATTGTCTTGGTTGGCCCCGCATGGTGGCCTCTGTGCTTTGAGCCTTTCTTGGGGCCTCCGTGGTGAAAGGCACACCCGATTGTCTTTCTGATCCCTACAGCTGACCTGGCTGGCTGGCAGGACCCAGGCTCTGCTCCCTGCTGTCCTTGCTCGCTGAGGATCGTACAGAGCTCACTGGCCAGCAGACCAGATACCCTGTCTGCTCATGTCCTCCACCAGGCATGTCATAGGGCCACCACGGCCACCCGCCACCTGGCTTGTCACTCCCCATTGTCCCCTGGTTCCCACAGCTGGAGGCGAGGTACCTGGAGGCTGAGAGAAAAAGACAGGTTTGCACTCAGCACCTCATCTGCGTGGGTCCACCCAGAGCCGCCGTCTGGGCCCTGAGTTCAGCCCTGGAGAGAGTCCAGGCTGCCGTGGAGGCGGCGGGTGGCAGTCAGAGCAAAAGAGGGACCAGCGTCAGGGGCCAGTGGCCGGGGGGTGCTTCCTGTCTCCCCAGCACAGGCCCTGCTGGCGGGGAGCTGTAGCCCTCCTCATACTGGCTTCTCCCCCACACACTCCCCAGCCTTCAGGCAGTAAAGCGAGGCGAGGCCTGGGCAGGGTGGGGGCAGGACAGAGGCAGAGCTGCCTGCACCCCCCTCTGTGAGGAAGGGGCCTGCTCTGGCTCTGTTGGGGGCCCCCCAGCTGTGTAGGAATTAGAGAAACTCCTCCTCTGTGGCGGATCTTTGACTTCAGCGAGTGCACCCCTCCTGGCCCCTCCTGGGTGCTGGGCTTCTCCAGGGCACTCAGCCCCTGCGGGTGCCAGCCACCCCAGGCTTTGAGGGGCAGGGGAGTGCCCAGGCCTCAGCTGTGCCTCCTTGTGGGCAGACCTCAGCCTCCTGGACCCTGGAACCAGGCCCTGCCCTTCCAGGCCCGAGCCCACCTGCCCCAGGGCCCAATCCCGAGACCCCTCTGCACAGGCTTTGGCCTGGGGCCTGGTGCTGCACCCGGCCTGGTGTGGCATGGCCCCACCGTGCTGGAGCAGAAGTTGCAGGTCCACCTGCCAGAGCCACCTTGCTCGGCCTGGGCTGCAGGGCTGGCCCCTAGGCCTCCAGGCCTGAGAGAGAGGTAGACGTGGGCAGTCTCCTCCCTGCTGCTAACGGCCACCGCGCGGCAGGTTGTGGGTCTGTGCGCCTCAGCTCTGCCGTCCGTCCACTCTGGTTGCCGCGAGGTCACACGTTCCATTACAAGGTTCCGTCCTGTCTGCAGCCAGGCACCGAGGCCCCACCCACTGCCTCCCTCCCTCCAGACGCCTCTTCCTGGGGCTCCCTCCGCCAGCCTAGTCTGCTCCCCAGGGCTGACCTCAGACCCAGGGCAGGGTCAGGGAAGAGGCTGCAGGGACAGGGGAGTGACCTTGGGGACGGGGCTGCAGTGCTATTCTGGGACATCCTTGGGAAGTGCGAGTTCTCTCGAGGGCCGCGCCTCCCGGGCTGCAGGTCTGGCTTGTTCGGCACCTTCAGCCTCCGCACCCTCTCCAGGCGGCTGCCTGAGGTGCGTTTTTAACACCACAGAGCGTTTGAGAAGCCGCCTCCTGTTCTTGGCAAAACTCTCAGCGTGAGCCCCACAGTGGCAGCTTTTTGAGTAAAAAGTGCAAAGGGGACCAGGCCTAGGGACCACGGTCTGACAGGCGGACACGTAATGATCGCGATCCCTGGCAAGAGCAGATGGCGCCACAGCGTCACAGGCAGCCTGGGTGACAGCCAGGGAAACGCGCTCACCAACAGCTATCAAATTGCACTCTGTCACCCACCGGCTGGCAGGTGTATGGTACCACGTGCCATCTGGACCGACCAGTGTCCTCAGCCTGGGAACCAGGACACCATGGTCCCCTCAGTCTGCCCCCAGCCCCTACACTGTAACCAGTCTGAGCCACCGTGCGAAGCACTCTCCTCCCACCGGGGGTCCCGCTTATTAGCCTTGGAGCCACCCTGTTTAAACTTGAGACTGTGGTTCAGAGAGGGACAGACACTGGCAGAGGGGTGGCTCCAGCGGGCAGAGAGGGCGAGAGTGCCCAAGGGGTAGTCAGCGTTTAGCAGTGGCCAGATGTGGGAAAGGGGCATCTGAAGTCCAGCCTGTGGGGGGCACGGGAGCTTGGGTCTGGACAGGCCACATGGCGTGTCAGCACTTGTGTGACTGGGTGGGAGCTGGTGGCCCCGGGAAGGTTGCCTCGGGGAAGGGGAGGCAGGGTGTCTGCAGGGGCAGGAGGGCGCCTCCCCAGACCTCCCATGCAGCTCCAGTGGCAGCTCAGGGCCAGGCAGCTTGGGGACGTCCCTTTAAAGCCTGGATGCTTTGTCATCGCCTCAGGTCGCTAGAATTTCTGAGTGATGTCACTCGTGCCTCCTACGGCCAGATCCATTTCAGCAGCTGCCTGTGAGAAATCGGATCTCGTCTGGGAAGGGTCATGTGCGTGTGCGAGGACCTGGGGAGCCTTGGTGGCCATCCCGTGCAGGCTCTTGCCGGGCCTTGCTCTCGGTTCTGGGGGTTACTTCATGTCTGACAGGCAGGCAGGGGGCTGCACTCTAGCCTCGATCCTCCTCCCTCAGGGCGAACTCACAGCAGCGCAGGACAGTGTCTCCCGAGCCCCAGCTGCCCTGCTGTGAGCATCACCTGGTGCTCCCGTCCTGTCACCACTGTCCACTTTGTAAACAGCTTCCCCCGGGTCCCACGTGGTGACCTCAGAGGGGCCTTGCTTGGTCTCTGCACTTGGGGTTTTGGGGAGTGTCTGTGAAGCACCTCTGTGGTTTGGGGGAGCAGGGCCCACAGGGCTGGGAGCCCAGCGTGGCCGTCGGGGCCTCCGCACCCGCAGAACCTGATGTGACGAGGTCAGCTTTGTGGCCACTTTTTTTTTTAATTTCCCTTTGCAACCCTTTAAATACATAAAAACCATTCTCGGCTACAGCAAAGCCAGGTGGCATCCCTCGGCAGAGGGAGGTGGCGGGCCCCCCCGCACCCGCTGTTCTGGTACCACCTGCCTTGAGGTGAGCCCACTGGCCAGCAGCTGTGTGGCTTCAGGAGCCACACGGCCGGACCTAGTCCCTGCACCTTGTCCCTGTGGGACACCTCGGCTGCTCCCCTGTACCGGGGGTGGGAGTGGGTGTTGGCCTACAGGTCCGCTTCCTTAGCACTGTGTCCCCAAGGGGCCTGGCAGGGACCCCGCCCGAGGGAAGGACAGCAGTGCCTGAGCGGAGGGTGGGGACCCTAAGGGGGCCGGAGCCAGGGAAGGGGCGGTTGGCTTGGTGCGACCAGGCCCGTGGCCTCTCTCCCCGCAGGCCGGGTGGACCTTTCCAGCAGCTGCAGTCGCTCCCTGGCCAGGTACGTCCCTGGGGCTGTGGGGGGGCGGGGGGCCCTGCGCAGCCGCAGCCTCACGCCGCCCGTCCCCCGCAGCCGGGCGGTGCAGCGCAGCCTGGCCATCGTGCGGCAGGCCCGGCAGAGGCGGCGGCGGAGGGAGCAGGAGTATTGCATGTACTACAACCGCTTCGGCCGGTGCAACCGCGGCGAGCGCTGCCCCTACATCCACGACCCCGAGAAGGTGGCCGTGTGCACCAGGTGACCGCCGGGGCGTCTCGGGTGGGCGGGCCCAGTGTCTGGCCTCAGCAGCGCCTCACACCCTCCTTGCTGTCTGCACAGGTTCGTCCGGGGCACGTGCAAGAAAACGGACGGAACCTGCCCCTTCTCTCACCACGTCTCCAAGGAGAAGGTGAGCGGCAGCTCGCGGGCCTCCCCTGCGCGTCCCCTGAGGCCCCTGCCAGGCCCCGGCCCCCCGGGTCTTCCCTGAGGAGCTGGGGACATTCCCTCCGGCTGCCATTTACCTTAGCTGACCCCGAGGGTGTCCACAGGCCACACAGGAGGGCTTCACCTCCCCCAGGGCACAGAGGTGTGGGGGGGGGTGGGAGGGGGTCCCACAGGTGCCTCCAGCCCGCTGCGCAGGGGACAGGGGCACACAGCGGGTCCTCTGGTCCCAGGCCCCCACCCCGTGGGCCCCAATGAGAGAGCAGACCCCACTGCAGGTCTCCATGGCTAGGGGGAGAGCCAGGGCAGGCAGGTGGTCCCCGTGCCTGCTGGGAGTGGGCGGGGCTGGGAGCTCTGAGGTCAGGGGTCAGCGCTGGCTGGGAAGCTTGGAGCAGGGAGTGGGGTGCGCTGGGGCTGGGGAGGCCGTGGCAGCTCAGGCGCGATCTGGCAGGGGCGATGCTGCTGCACAGCTGTTCCCCTTGAGGAACTCGAGAAGAATCAGCATTTCTCTCCGTAATAGAGCTTCCAAACTCTGCTGTGAGCAGTTTGGAGATTCGCGTGAGTTTCGGGTTCATTAGCCGCCGGCTGCAAGGCGGGCACTCACCCTGGGCTGCGCAGTGCGGACGCCGCGCCTGCGCCCCGAGTTCCCGTCGCTCTTATTTGTGTGGACGCGGCGGAGCAAACAAGGTTAATTGAAACGAGAGCGGGGCCCCCTCTCGCAGCGGCCTGCTGACAGCGGAGTTCCGTTCGGGGTGCGCTGGCTTCATTATCCTTTTTATTAGAGCTAATTTGGGCTCTAGATCAAAAGCCACATTAAGGGATTGTCTGCAGCACAGCGCCGCCAGCCCGGCCGCCCCCTCCCCTCCGCCCGCAGTTAAAAGGCAATTAAAGATAAACTTCGCGGCCCGCAGCGTGGAAATCGCCCTTTGTCTCTGCTTTCTCCCTCCTCCTCAGCCTCCCCTCTGCCCCGCAAAGTGCAGCGAGGAGCCCCAGGGCAAGCGCGTGGGGACCCATTGGGGGCTGCAGTGGGGTTTGGTGGGGCGAGTCTGATTGACAGAGGGAGGAGCAGGGCAAGCTCTCCCTCACCCCCACCCCTGCCGAGACCCCAGGTGTGAGCCCCGCAGGGATGAATGACCCCAATGACAGGTACTAGTCCCTGTGAGAGGGGCAGGGCCGCAGCGCCCGGGAGTCAGGGCCAAAGGTAAGGCGGGTTGAGATCCGAGGCCCTCCTGCTGGCCCTTGGGCCTGTTTCCCCCGGTGGGGACGGGGTGGGTTGCACAGCTCCCTCTCCAGCCTGCAGGCCAGGCGCTGCTGGGGCCACACAGCCCTGCCCAGGCCACCTACTCCATGTACCCCACCAGGTCTCCCATGGGCCGCCTGCCAGGCCTCCACAGTGCCAGCCTGCGGTCAGTGCATGGACTTGGGCTGCTCCCAGGTGGCTTCCTTCCTGCCCACTGAGTCCACCGCCCACGCTTCTTCCCTGGGCAGGGTGGGGTCTCCAGCCCGCGGACGCTGCTACTTCCCACTCATCAGGCAGCTGGAAAACTTGCGGGATTTCCAGACCCCGTAGGCCGTCGCCCCCCAGCCCGTGCCGTGTGGCCCCACAGCCTGGAGACTGGGCAGGCTCAGAGCAGGGGACGGACCCCGGCAGCAGCACATCTGGGCCTGAGCCGCCCCGTGGTGCCGGAGCCAGCCCTGCCTCCATGGCCTCGTCCTGCCTGTGTGACCGTGCCTCCTGGGGAAACCAGGGTCTGATGTGGGGGGTGGGCAGCCTTCACCTGGCCTGGCCCCAGGTGCCCTGGCTCTTTGGCTGCCTT